TTAAATCCAACTCTGTTTTTATATATATACACAATAATCCTAATGCATTAATTCTCAGAACTAGGGGTTTTGTTCTAACTCATATGTACACAATAATCCTAGTGCATTAATTCCTAGCACTAGGGTTTTTGTTCCTCTATTAATCCTAATTCTGAATCCTGATCAATTGTCCTTGTTCATACCCTGCCTACATTCCAATTATTGGAAATTCCAATCGGACTAAGAGAAAAGCACATCTTGATGTTCAAGTCATCAGATACCAAAGCCATTGTACAAGTTGTTGGGATTATCAAAGCCGTGTGAGATGTTGGCTTCATAATCGTGTCTCTAATTATCCGAAACCATCTCCTCACTGTTGTTCCTTTCAGTGGGTCTTTGTCCTGCTGGCTATCGCCTTTGTCTAGCCACAGATAGTGTGATCATATACAACGACAATACAATGTTAACATAACACATTAGAACATCTACAAAATGAACACATCATTATTCATAAAATCTAGAATTTTTTTAAGTACAACTTCTGAGAATTTTCAAAGAATGCTTAATTAATCAAACTTTTAAAAAGGCTCAGAAATGTTTTTATTTATTTTAATTGGACTTGGATTTTACTGATGGTAGTTGTTATCATTTAAACTATAATAATTCTCACCTACAAAGAGTATTATAGTCATTTTATATCTTTTAACATGTGTTATCTAGATATTTTGTGGTGATGGCTGATGAAGTGAAAAGAGAGAGTAGAATGGAAGAAAGAGAGCATAGAGGTTTTGGATATCAAGTAGAAAAAGAAAGAAGAGAGGTTGGCTTGGTACGTGAAGGGATCAAAGGAGTTATTATCTTTGATTTTTTTATGGTGTATTTTCAAAATAAAAAAATTATCTTTTAATATGAAAAGTTATCTTAATTCAAAAATTCTGTAATAAAATCAAAAGTTTAAATATGAAAAATTATCTTTTCATATTAAAGCTTAAAGTTATGTCTTATAAAATAAGTGATTATCCTGTTATAAGGTGATATGAAAAGTTATCTTTTCATATTATATTTCAAAAATTATGTCTTATAGAATAAATGGTTAGCCTTTGATAAGGTGACTGTTAAAACAATATCTTTATCTAAGAGTTGTATTTTGTAAAATGCCAAAGTATCTTTAAGACAAAAAAGTGTCTTGATCAAAAGGTTGTATCTTTGAAGAAAACACACTTAAAGTCCTATATAAAAGACTTACTGTCAACTATTTTGACATATTAAAACAAAAACAAAGCAAGAATAGAAAAGTTAAGAGAAGAAAAGTATTGTGTTATGCAAATTAACAAAGACACTTAAGTTCCTATTAATTACAAAAACGTTCAAGCTTCTTATAATCTATTTGCTGCAGAAAGTAGATTCTAAGATCGAAAAATTTTACAAACTCTCGAATGTATTTACCGGACTACTCTCCTAAAGTGTAAGCTGAAGTTAGATATTGGCTTCATTATATTCCCAAAGTTATTCATGTTATTCTCATTTGTATGGTAAATGGTGAGAGCAAAATAAGTCTTAAAAAAAAACCTCTATTAAAAGGCTTATTTTAAAGTCAATTTTACTAATTCCTTTAATTCCATCTAAACTTCGTTTGCGCCAACACTCTTGCTGTGTCTACCTCTCCTTGAAACAAAAGCAAAAAAAAATCTTCTTCCATTTCCATTTGATCTCAACTATGGCTACTCTAGGCTCTGTCATTCCAATGGTTCTGATCGGCGAGGCACTTACAAAGGATTATAGGGCAGTGGTTCAGATGGTTCAGTTCAATCATAACCCATGTTGCCTTCCTTGCAACATTAACAAAGAGAGCCCTCAAAAAATATCATGCTTGCTGGGCCACTTTGTTTATGGGGCACTATTGACATCTAAAAGTCTACATCTTTTTGAAACCTCACTGTATCCAAGATGGATAGCTAATACTGACTTACTATTCAGCTTGGTCCTATTTGCATCAAAAATCTTTGCAAAACATACACATCCAAACACTTTCAGATGTTTGACAGATGCCTTTAAGTCAAACCAAGCTTCGAAAGGTGCTTTACCTGTCAAGGCTTTAATAGCTGACAAATTAAGTAGATAATTAGTAGTGTTAACTGCCTCAGTCGATAATGGCTTAGGTAGCTTCTTCTCAAATAGCAAGCACCTAACCATCTCCACCAAGGTTTTACTCTTTCTTTCTGCCACCCCATTGTGTTGTGAGTTGTAAAAGATTGTTAATTGATGTGCAATATCGAACTTACTTAGATAGTTTTCAAACTCCTTAGTTGTATACTTAGTACCCGTTTGACCTGATTTATATTTAATTTATCTACTACTAAAAATCAGAAGTTGGGCCAAACAGAATTTCGTAAAAAGCTCTTAAAAAAAGTTAAAGAATAAAAATATAAAAAAA